ATCTGTAAAGAATTTATTGCGAAAAATATCATCCCTGCTTTCAGTCGGGCAAATTTATTTTTATTTTTTTTAATTTTCTTAATCGGGTTATTTTATTGATCATTATATTCATTATCTTTTCTTATTTACATATGTATATCAAGTTTAATTATTAATTTATAATATTTCAGGTTATAATACTTTCAAATTTTTTAAGAATAATTTTGTGTATTTTGAACATATATAATAATTTTTTTTATTACAATATTTGTAAATTTTCTGAATAAATTATCATTTGCACGAATGTATTTTTCTCGAAACTTCAAAATTTCGAAGATACTTTAAACTTCGAAGCTTCGAAAGAATTCGAAGATTTTAATGCCGAAGCTTCGAATCTTCGAAGTTCGAATATCGAAGCCTTCAAAACAAATCACCAGCCCTAATTCCAACAGAAAGAAAATGCATAATTTATTTTTTTTTGTTATAGCGACAGAAAAGCGGGTGATTTTCAGAATAAAAAGATTCTCTGTCTTTCAAGAGAGTGACATAGTATTGTGTTTTTCTTGTTAATTAATCTCCGCATAGTGTCCGTATAAAGCATCCTATTTCTCCTTAGAATAAAATAGAAAGTCATATAGACCAATTCAGAATGTCTAATAAAATTGTGTGCTGCGTAGAATGATTTTTTAGGTACCTTATGTACGTGACGAGGGCACACGTGCTTCGGTGAATCAGCGTAATATTCTGATCATCACGAGCGGGAGAGACGCTCTGCGTCTCGTCTGCGCGAACAGTTTGGAACCTGTCCAGTTTGTCGCAAACACAGCTCGCAGGTTGCCGTCAGCTGACGTTGTTGGCAGATTCCGAGCTCTTCGCTCTTTTTCGGCCTCGCCGCCGGATATAATCGTCATAACATTTCAGAAAATTTTCAAACGGCCGCTCTCTCGCGTCGCGCGGAGAGTCGCTCTGAGAACACCTCATCAATTTTAAAAGCAGATAAAATCGTCACAACACGTCAGTGTGGTTGATCGATTTTGGCGGATAATATCGTCGGTATATTTCCAGGGAATGCACGCGACGTGGATTCAAAGAGATTTGACTTTGAAGAGACTCGATTAATCTTAGCAAAACTGTTGAAATTAACGTTGAAAGGAATCTATTAAAAGAAGTGCGTCGTATTGAGAGTTGATCTTGAACGACATAAAGAAATAAAAGAGTAAAGTATTGCCTTATTATATTAGTTATAATTTTAGTATTTTTTAACAAAAGAGATGTATGTGTGCTGTTATATTAAATATATGTATATTATTATTTATACTATTATGTACATAAATAATGTTTCACAACAAATTAAAAAAAAAACTATTTTTTACATCTTTAATAAAGATTTATATTCAATTATAGTGCATAAAATGCATCGTGTGTGAATGTTGTGCGTTACACATACACAAATACATTTCATTATTTATTGTTATTTCTCTTATTTTTCCCTTCCAAGAACAATTTAATTTATCCTCGAATAAAGAATGATGATCTGTTCTTTCAACACAATAATTCCACTCTTAAGATAAGATTTTTGTAAGTTTATATAATTTCATTATTAGAGAGATCAGCTTTTCAATTAAATTTGCCAGTTGAAAATTGTAAAAAAAACTATAATATTCACGATAGTAGTGAAGATATGTAAAAATCATTCGTTACATAAGGATTCGTATTATCGGCGATACGTAACGACACATGCTGCTCGTTAATAATGCAAAAGCCTTCCTGCGACGCGCAAGGACAACGCATTAAATGTTTTAATAACTAAAGCGCACGACACTAATAAAACTGACTGTCCTTGGTTGAAATTGTACACGTGCCTTTTATCTTAAAATTGTTCAAGTCTCCAGAGGTTTAGAAGAGATAGTTCAAAATTTTTACATATTGAAATTAACATTTGTATATACACTACCATTCAAAAGTTGCGGTTTTCTCGCATCTCACGAAAAGTTTAGTATTTCAATGAAAAAAATTATAGAGAAATTTTCAGAAATACATTTTAAAGAGGAAAGATAGATAAAATGCTTCAAATCTATTCTTTAGTTTTATCTCTATAATATTTTGTTTCTAAATTACATATAATAGAAAATTAGTATTTTTTTTAAATATTTTTCTTTTACTTTGAAGCGCTGTAACTCTTGATGAAACGTCATCGAATAAAAATTAAGGAAAAAATTGTTTTAAAGTAGGCTTTCTAAGTTTTAAAAATGCTTTTTTAAAAAAATTAATGCAATGATTTTTCGCAATGATATCGAACTTTTTGTGTCAAAACTTATTTTGATCAAAACTCATTGTTCGTAACATACTTTTTAACTTTGAAACCAAAGAGTTTACGAAGAAAGAGGAAAATATTTATTATAATGTGCTTGATTCTCATACATTTTTTCAAAATTTTGTAAAAACTTTTTTGACCATTAATGATTTTTATAGAATACACTTGGCTCACTTTTTATAATTCGTGAAGTAATACATAACGGACTCGATAATATAAACGACATTAATAAATATACATTTTTAAGTTTCTTTTTGTAGTTCTTTAATCATAATTTTATTTATCAAATCTAAAATTTGGATTTATGATTCACTAAATTTTTTCTTTTTGATTTAGAGAAAGTGTCAAGGATAGAAGACTAGAGAATGGTAAAGAGAGATGGGGAAGGAGAGGGGGGGGAGAAGAAAAAGAATGCTTTGTGAGATTCGCGCGGCAGTTTCGCTATTGGCCATTCACTTTGCCGTTTCTCGATGTAGGACACGGTCGCCTGAACCACGTCACGATATTAAAGACGACGAGATTTATCCGCATGTCGATGTATCAGTTCCGTGCTAGTGTCATCGCGCGTGTCAGCATCTTGATAAATAGTCGTCAGCGAATACACAGACCTATATACAATATCTATACACTATATATATACAAATACAGCTCCAAATTTTTAATATAGTTAAATATGATATTTTATAAATTTACGAAATTTCTTCAAGGTTCAAAACAAAATCTTTATCGAGACCTTAAAAGAATTTAAAGCATTGTAAAATATTTGCAGTGACTTCTGTCAATTGCTTAAATTACTCATACATTCTCGTTGTAATTTTTTTTTTAATGTGTTTAATCAGGCTCAGTTTATTTTTATTCGGATATTTCTATACATTGTTATACATATATAAAAAAGATATTAAATTTTCAAGTATCTCTTATAAAATGCATCATTCCTATCCTTAATATATCGGGCTTTCCGGTGCGTTTTCAATAATCATTATATAGTCATAATTACTAATCAATAACTTTTCATAACTGTACTTATATACACGCCAAAATTATCGATTATTTTTATGCGGTAATAACACTGTTCAGCAAATATGGCTCTCGAACAAAATAAAATAACAATAATCATTTCCCATAGTTTTTCAGCAGTTGAATACCATTCGAATTGTTCCATCATGCCAGTTTTGAAAAATTTGTGATTAAGGTCGTAAAAAAAGGATATTACAGTGCATTTTGGTACATTATAACTATATAACGTGTTGGAAAGGTTTTATTATAAATCAAAATTAAGTATATTAATTTCAGCTCTTAAAAGGAACTTGTGTGTCGATTATGATTAAAAACATATTTGTGATTAATATAAGATTTATTGCGTCAATGTTGCGACTTATACAGACCTTTAACGATCTAAAATATTTTTTAATTATGTTATTTAAATTTATGATTTAAAATTAAAGATTTTTCAGATCTGAATATTAATCAAGTCAAATACTAATTAAAGTAATCTTAATATCAAAGTTGATAA